GGGTCAGAGGCAGCCGGAGAGCGCAGGGCACGCTGGCCTCACGGCGGCCCGGGGACAGGGCGAACCCGCAGCCAAGCAGGGGAGTGGGGCTGCGGACGTGCCCTACTTGGCAGGCTTTAGGACCGCAGCGGCCACCATGGACGGCCCCCAAAGCGGAGTGCAGGGGCAGGGTCTGGGACCGGCGGCGGCACAGCCGGAAGCGGCGCGCTGCGCGCGCCAGTTGAAAGAAGCACCGGGGAGCCGGGAGAAGCGGGGGGCCGTATTAAATCTGACCGCGGGCCGCAATTGGCCCACGGGCCGGACTTTGGACATGCCTGGTATATACCGTATCTTAGCAAATATAACTCGCGGGTTATATGCATTTTTACAACCCCACCCCCACCCCAGTGGGGTATACTCATGCGTGGGGTATACAAAACTTTTTTTACTCACCTGGGGGTAAGTGTGGCTGCGCGGCAACCAGGGGTGTGAGTCTCTCCTGCCTGGAGGCTGGCTAAGTCCCCCCCAAAATCTCCCCCCAGCACTGTAAATTAGCGAATATACCCCCCGGCACAGTTTGAAATACAAGTCTTGTATACCCCGTGGGCTATACTTGTGCGCGGGGTATACAGGGGTTTTTTTTACTCAAATAGCAAAAACCGCGGGGTATATTCGGGTGCAGGGTATATTCGTTAAAATATGGTATGTCTGTCAGAGACCATTACATTTAATATGTTACCCCTGTAATGATCCCAATAACTTGTGTTTGGATAAAGCATATTTTCTAGAAAGGCATTCAGTCTTGATCTGAAGACATCAAGAGATGGAGAATCCACTACTTCCCTTGGTAGTTTGTTCTAATCATCCTCATTGTTATTATGACATTAATTTGTGGCTTTTTTTTCTGTTTTTAAAACAATGATTTCTGCAATAAAGCTTACATTGACTACATAATTTTAAAAGATAAAAATACAGTATTAACTAGCATGACCCTCATCTTTTTATTATATATCTTGAAAATCAGAGTCTGACTTACCAATCAAGGCGAATACTGCTTTGACAATCCCCTCAATAAATTCCAAACGCTGAAATCCTGCCCTGGAACCAAGGTAACAAGCATTCTTGTTCTTTCGACAGACATACTTTAGTGGGTACTTCACTGACCACCACAAGCCAAAGAGGAGGAAAAAGGTCCCAGGCATAGCATGACCTTTGAAATTGCCCATGTCTCCCTATAATGCAAAAACCTGAAAAGAAATGCAGATTGCTGACTGAGTAAGGTATTTTAGGAAGATTATGAGTTACAATTTGATATATATAGGCTGCAATTTTCAATGGACCCTAAAAAAAAGTTGTCCAAATAACACTGAAATTCAGTGGGATTTGGGTGCCTAATTCCCTTAAACTGCTTTAAAAATCCTAGCCAGAGAGGTACAAGTTTGCATAATTGGGCAGAACAAGAAAGATTATAAGATTTTCTGGAAGGTCAAAAAGCTTAAAAAAAGTTATAACACAACATTCCAGGTGTTGAGATTATACTGGTAAAGAGATCAGTGAAAGTTAGATAAATAGATACTATAAATACTTGAGCCCATTTTTGCCCCTATCCCATGGTGATGCTGAAACAGCAGTACCATTCAGGTCAGCAGATTCTTGAGCAAATATGGATTCAATTTTTCACTTTAGCAATTATTATCACAGAATCCCCATTCTATGCAATCAATGTGATATAAATAGAATATGAACTATCTAGACCTTTTCCTTCTCCTTCTTAATTTCAACTTAATTTTCCAACTGTGGTCTGCGGCCTCAAAGTACTCACTGACTTGCCATGTAGTATTGGTTGGCCATGTAGTGTCACTCTGTTGGGGTATATCTACACAGCAGCGTGATTTCGGAATAACAAAATGCAAGTCTACACAGCAAGCCATTATTTCGAAATAATGTCAAGCTGGAGGACTTCTTACTCCAACACCAGTAACCCTCATTTCACGAGGAGTAAGGAAAGTAGAAGGAAGCATGTTTTTCCTTTGACTTCCTGCTGTGTAGACAGTGCCAAAAGCTGAATTAAGCTATTTTGACTTCAGCTACACAGTTGACATAGCTGAAGTTGCGTATCTTAATTCGACTTTTGCCCTGCTGTGTAGATGTGCCCCTCCTGCTTTCAACTGCTAAGCTCTATTACAAGCTAAAAATTCATCAAATTCCTTCCCAATATTACTTTTCCAGAAGCAGAGGCTGAAGTTGCCATAAGGATGTTGACCAGTTGCACAGGGAAGGGAGGTGACCCATATAATCACAAATAAAAAGAGAAGAGATCCTTGAGACAGTCAGCTACAGCGTCAACCTTTCTGAGCCACGATAAGGATGTTAAGGACTAGTTGACTATCCAATGAGCAAATGCTTATTGGATAGTCGACTCAACTAGTCAATTCCCCCCTCCCTTGCAGACCCTATCAGATAGAGGCAGCAAAAGGGGGGGGGAGAAGAGAGGGTACTTCAAAGGGGCAGCACTGCACACGTGACCCTGGGCTCTGTGAGGCACTGCCACCATGGCATTTCAAAGCGGAAGCACCGTGTGGAGCCCGGGTTTGGGTTGGGACTACCTAGCTGACTCCGGGCTCCCTGCGGTATTTCCTCAGAACCTGGAGTCAGCTGGGGAGTCCCCAGCTGATCCTGGGTTTTGGGGACTGCCATGTGGAGCCCAGGGTCAGTTCCCTGTGGCATTTCAAAGTGGAAGAGCAGCATGGAGCCTGCTGAGTCCCCCGCTGACCCCAGGCTCCATGAAGGCACTTCCGCTTTGAAATGCACAAGAGCCCCCGCTGGGGTCTCTTGTACATTTCAAAGCTGGCACACCATGTGCAGCCTGGGGCCAGCGGGAAGTCCCGCTGACTCCAGGCTCCACGTGCCTCCTTACACTTTGAAATGCACAAGAGCCCTTAGGGGCTCTTGTGCATTTCAAAGGCTAAGCACCCTCATGGAGCCGGGAGTCAGCGGGACTTCCCGCTGGTCCCAGGCTGCACATGGAGTTCTGCATTCCTCCTTTGAAATGTACAAGAGTCCCTGGGGGGGAGGGCTCTTGTGCATTTCAGAGGAGGAATGAGGAAGTGCTTATTGAGTAGTCAAGTAGTCGATGGAATTTCCATCGAGTACTCGACTAGTAAATTACTCATTAGTTAACATCCTTAGTCCAGGACTCTCTGGTCCAGCAACATCCGTGGTCTGGCATCATCAGGGACTCCGTTGGTGCTCCAAGGGTGGAGCACTCGAGGGAGAAACGATCGCAGCAGGACTACAGATATTGTTGGACTAGTGAGTCCCAAAGGCCAGGAGCCTGGAGCCAGAGAGCCCAGTGATTGGGTGTGAAGCCTAGCGGGGGAGCTTGTGCCAGGAGAAGAGCCAGGCCAGTGGCTGTGAGCAGAGTCAGGCCCAGGAGCACCCATGGGGTTACTCCCAGTCAGGGATGCAACTAGGGAGCGTGGTGGCAGGGAGCCTAGCCAGGGCCGAGAGCACAGCCCAAGAGCCAGCGGCCTTTCAAGAGTAGACCCCTGAGGCTGGCAGCAGAGTGGCCTTCCCCTGGTCCAGCAAACTCTGTGGTTCAGGACTGGTCAGGTCTTGGGAGTGCTGGACCAGGGAAGTCCAATCTGTAGCATTTTTTTCATACTGTGAGAGTGTCAGAGAACCCCTGGGCTAGAACAAATACAAAGAGTCCCTATCAACACAGAACTCCCATCCGAGTATCTACATCAAAGAAGTAAAAAAATGTGTGAAATATAGAGGAAACATCTGTGAGCTAGCTGCTACCGAACGAATATACCAGGAAGACATGGCATTGTCTGCCAAAGCAAGTCCATTTCTTGATCTCCACCATAGAGATCTGATTTAAGAGATTCTGGTTCAATAGCTATTACTCACATATTTAGTAGGACCTTGCTAGTTTGGTCTTACATTCTTTGTAGCACCAACACAATCTGAAATACTAGGTTTGTTAGATGGCAGACCCCTTTGCACCTCCTAGAGGTTCTTGTGGTTCAAGCTTTTGAAGTTTCCACTTATCTGGAAATTATTAGTCTTGCTGACCAGAATGATACTGCTGCCTTATTTTAGACATGTTATTTTTTCCTCTGAGCAAAGAGGAAAATCTTCTCTTTCCATGTGTTTTGATCTCACTGAATGCTATTTATTAGAAATGCTTTATTCAGTCTACATTCATTATTCACTGCAGCTTCAAAGCCTTACCGTATATCATACAAAATTAAATAAAATATGAAATTAGAGATGCAAATTAAATCAATAAGAAACCTTTATTTAGAAGGAGGTTACAATTACATTATGTCCAATTCAAATGCAGATCAGCATGGTATTGCCATATTTAGTACACAGTCAATCATACTTGAGACTATACAATAAAGTATTAAGAGACAGACATTGCAAAATGTATTTCCTCTCTAAAACATGTCTAGATAGCCCATTTACAATTCACATTTCTTTTACAAAGTAAAAAGGGGGAAACCCACACTTATCCAAATTGGGCCCACACAAGTAGGGACAGAAAATGAATACACACAAGTGCTGTCAAGTGTACAAAGTAAACAAACTAAGCACACATGAAGACACATGCTCTCTGATCCTTACTATACAGCCAGGTGCCACTTGTAAAAAAGAAATAAAAAAGAATTATGGTTGAAACTGATGTGTCTCCTACAAATCTGTATCTTCCAAGTCCCCCAAAATCCATATTCATTAGTTCCAACATACACCTTACTCATTATACCATACACCTCCCAACTTGGTGAGTGATGTTTTAACTTTGACTGGAATTTAATTTAGATCTTCAAATGTAGAAATCAATGCATGCAACAACCATGTTCCATTTGCTGCATGGCTTTTTTTATATCTAGAGAATATTGAATAATAACTGACTCAGATCTACTTAAGAATATTAAAGCATAGTTTACCAGACTGCTCCCTAAGTCTGTGAGCCCACAGTTTTGCTCCCATTGGCTACGTCTACACTGGCATGATTTTCCGAAAATGCTTTTAACGGAAAACTTTTCCGTTAAAAGCATTTTCGGAAAATCATGCCAGTGTAGACGTAGCCAATGGGAGCAAAACTGTGGGCTCACAGACTTAGGGAGCAGTCTGGTAAACTATGCTTTAATATTCTTAAGTAGATCTGAGTCAGTTATTATTCAATATTCTCTAGATATAAAAAAAGCCATGCAGCAAATGGAACATGGTTGTTGCATGCATTGATTTCTACATTTGAAGATCTAAATTAAATTCCAGTCAAAGTTAAAACATCACTCGGACTATTCCCTATTGACTCTTCGTGTACACCACACCAATATGATACACAGCACTGGTTACATGCCCCAGTACTACACATGGAACCTAACACGCTAGTTATTCACGCACCCTTGTCAGTATTCAATCCCTTTTTAACAATGACAAAAGGAGACAACGTATCATATACTGGATCAGGAAATAAACTACTATAAAGTTGGATGATGCAATACATGCATGTAGTTCTCCTCTGCACATTCCTTTGCCGCATCATATGTCTAGTAATTTCCTGTGTTTATCAACCCCTGCAGGATGTTGCACTAAAAAAGACAATCAAAAGTTCAGAAAAAGGCAACAAAAAGTATTAGGGGTTTGGAACCGGTCCTATATGAAGAGAGATTAAAAAGACTTGGACTTTTCAAGAGGGGGGGGGGGGGCAGATATGATAGAGGTCTATAAAATCATGACTGATGTGGAAAAAGTGAATAAGGAAAAATGTTTTACTTGTACCCACAATATAAGAACTAGGGGTCACCAAATGAAATTAACAGGCAGCAGGTTTAAAACAAACAAAAGGAAGTTTTTCTTCACTCAGCGCATAGTCAACCTGTGGAACTCTTTGCCAGAAGATGTTGTGAAGACTAGGACTTTACAGGGTTCAAAAAAAAGCTAGATAGATTCATGGAGGTTAGGTACATCAATGGCTATTAGCCAGGATGGGTAGGAATGGTGTCCATAGCACCTCTGTTTGTGTGGAAATGGATGACAGGAGAGGGATCATGTTATGATTACCTGTTAAGTTCCCTCCCTCTGGGGCATCTGGTATTGGCCACCATTGACAGACAGGATACTGGGCTATACAGACCTTTGGTCTGACCCATATGGCCGTTCTTCTGTTCTTAACCAAAAACACTTAAAAATAATGCAGAGTAGCAAAATTCTAAGACCTCCCTCCTGTTCT